AGGACTTAGACGAAGTGTTCCGACGCTTGCAGCAGAACCGGCTGATTACGAAGGGCTCTAAGTGCGAGTTCTTACGGTCGGAGCTGGAGTTTCTGGGGCACGTTGTCTCTGGGGAAGGCATTAAAATCAACCCTCAAAAAGTAAAAGCGATTTTGGAGTGGAAGCCGCCCACGAACATCACTGAGTTGCAGAGTTTCCTCGGCTTCGTTAACTACGTCCGCCGTTTTGTACCCAATATAGCGGGGGTAACCAGGCCGTTAACCGATCTCCTGCATAAGGGCGTGCAGTTTTTTTGGGGGGAGAGAGAACAGCTGGCTTTCAACGAGCTGAAGAAAATTTTGAGTTCACCCCCGGTGCTTCGACTGGCAGATCCATCTCGACCGTTCGAAGTCGTGACGGACGCCAGCGATTTCGCGGTCGGCGCTGTGCTATTACAGGACTTCGGCAACGGACTGCAACCCATCGCGTACGAGTGAAGAAAAATGCAGCCGCCCGAGCGCAACTACCCGGTTCACGACAAGGAAATGCTCGCCATCGTGCAGGCGTTTCGAACATGGCGATGCTACCTCACGGGAGCGGATGTCACAATCCGAACTGACCACAAGTCACTACAGTACATGCGCAGCCAACCACAGCTCAACCCACGACAAATCCGGTGGCTCGACTACCTCGAATCAAATTTCCGCTACACCATCACATATAAAAAGGGCGCCAACAACATCGCCGACGCTCTGACCCGCCCATCCATGCAGACCGCAGCAGTAATAATCGCCCATTCCAACCCTTTATTGGCAGGATTATTCAAGCACGGCTACAGGATCGACAGATTTTTCAGGACCAATCAACACCGCGGGGTCACTACACCGCATGGAAGTTACTACCTAAAAGTCGGTACTAACCGAGTTTGGGTACCTTCCTACCGACCCTTACGCGAATTACTGACGCAAGAAGTACACGACTCCAACCTCTCCGGGCATTTCGGCGTCGACAAAACATTGAAGCTGCTGCAGCGGAACTACTACTGGCCCGACATGGCGTCGGACGTGCAGCGCTATGTGTCCGCCTGCCCGACCTGCCAGGCAATGAAGTCATCACGACAACGACCAGCTGACTTACTGCAGCCCCTCGAGCCACCCGAACGACCGTGGCAACAGGTGACTATGGATTTCGTCACGGGCCTTCCAGCTGGCGCAAGTGGCAACGACTCCGTGCTCGTCGTCGTTGATCGCTTAACGAAAATGGCGCATTTCGCGCCCTGCCGTACAACGATCACAGCCGAAGAAACAGCGCGACTCTTCATCTCGACCGTCGTACGCCTCCACGGGTTACCTTTGGCGATCATCAGCGATCGAGATCCGAAATTCACGTCGAAATTCTGGCAGGAGACATGGGCACAGTACGGCACCCGCCTGCAATTTTCGTCGTCCTACCACCCGCAAACCGACGGACAGACGGAGAGGACAAACCAAATGATGGAGCAGCTGATTCGCACGAACTGCCCGGACATCACCAAGTGGGAAGATTACCTTCCCATGCTCGAGTTTGCGTACAATAACGCCCCATCTGCAACGACCAAGCAATCACCCTTCTACCTGAATTACGGGATAGACCCGGTGGTGCCCTCATCGACAACTCCCGACAACCCGGTACCCAGGTCACAGCAGTTTATTTCGGAACTCCAGGACGCGCGTGCCAAAGCAGCTGACTTTATCCGAAAAGCGAATTCGACCGCCAGCCGCTACGCTGACCAACACCGACGAAGTTTACCCTTCCGCGAGGGGCAGATGGTTCTCCTGGACACCAAAAACCTCAAACTGCCCCAACCCGCAAAACTGCGTCCTCGATACGTGGGACCTTTCCGCATCATTCGAATGCTGACACCGGTCACTGCGAAACTTCTCCTCCCGGACGACTGGCATATCCACGACGCCTTCCACGTCAGTTTACTTCGCCACTACGTGGCACCCCAGTCCTCCGACGTCGCTCGACCCCACCAGGCGCCAAGTGTCCGACCGGTAGCAGATCCCACGCTCCAACCCTGGAAGATATTGAATCATCGCATTCGTGCGACCCCAGCCGGCCGCCACGTCGATTTTCTACTGCGATGGGTGGATCGCACAAGTGACGACGACACCTGGGTCCCGGCTGACTCACTACAAGGGCACTCGGTACTCCGGCAGTATCTTTCTCGCCGACACGTGCCTGATATTGACCACCTTTCTTGAAGGGGGGGGGGGGTAGTGTAAGGAATTTTGCTAATTCCTTACTGAGGCACCGCTTACGCGTACATTTCCAACTTTTCGGAGTTCAGGCTCGGTCCGACGACCTCGCCTCCCGAACGTCCTCCGCGTCGCCTTCGGGTTTTCCAAACCCAAACCTACACCCAACCCTCGCACGACTTCGCGACCTCGGGCTTAGCTAGCCTTGCTATATGTCGAAATATTTTGTCATGTTTTATAATTGCTTGTAGTTGTAGTTAGTGTAGTTATGTAAACTTTTGTTGGTGGTGCACCTTATTGTGTTTCTATGCTATATGTACCCCTGAACCTATAGTGAAACTCACCTTTTCACAATTTTCCTCTCAACTCACTCGACTCTCACCCTAGGGCAAAACCCGCTCGATACTAAGTTAGGGCCTAGGCTACTAAGCCTAGGCCCCACGTTTCTACTCTCTATTACCTACTATCTTGACATGTTATCGGAGCTGTTTTCGTCCTGGCCTGTGGGCCCGCGTTACTCTTCCGCTGCTGAGATTTTCCGGTCGCGCGCCTAGGGCGCGTGACGAATTTTAGTTTTACCTTGTCCCGCCCACGGGCGTGTGACTCCTATCCTGCCCGTCGCGCGCCCCGTGGCACGCGACGGTGCCCTTTATCTGCCCATCGTACGCCCCGAGGCACACGATGGTGCCCTGCTCGTCGTGCGCCCCGAGGCACACGATCGGGCCCTTTTATCCTACCCGTCGTGCGCCCCGTGGCACTGGCCCGCGACGGGCCTCTCCGCCCCTGCACTCCCTGCTGCCGTCCCTGACCCATCTGCACCGACGCCTCTTCGCCGCTCTGCGGCTTTCTTCCTTCCCACCCCCCCCTTTCTCTTGTCTCCCTGCAGCCGTGGGGAGGAGGGTATGGGGGTGGAGGGTGTTGGAGCGTGGGGTCAACTCTCTCCCTTTCCCTCCTCCTTCTTTCAGTCCCACCGCTGCAGCTGCCGCTGGGGGAGGAGGGTGTGAGGATGTGGGTGAGGGGGGGGGGTGGTACCGGGGTGGCGGGGGTGAGGCAACAAGCAGCCGTCCCTCCACCTTTCCTCTTTCCCCCCTTTCTCTGCTGCTTCTGCAGCAGTGTTGGGGAGTGGAAGGAGGAGGGTGAGGAGTTGGTAGGGGTACCTGCTGTTGCTGTAACTACACACCTACCTACAAGCATTATGGGGGCGTGTCGAAATATTTTGTCATGTTTTATAATTGCTTGTAGTTGTAGTTAGTGTAGTTATGTAAACTTTTGTTGGTGGTGCACCTTATTGTGTTTCTATGCTATATGTACCCCTGAACCTATAGTGAAACTCACCTTTTCACAATTTTCCTCTCAACTCACTCGACTCTCACCCTAGGGCAAAACCCGCTCGATACTAAGTTAGGGCCTAGGCTACTAAGCCTAGGCCCCACGTTTCTACTCTCTATTACCTACTATCTTGACACTATATTATGCCTAGGCCCCGATGTTTGCTCAGTAGTTGTAATCACTTCCGCGATATTGCATTCTGCGCACTCTTCTTTCATACAACTCATAACACCCAATGTGCAACAGTACACTGTTCTATGACAGACGTGATGAACGTAGAGGTTCAAATAAACTGGCAATACAAACTAATAAAGACAATGCAGGTGCAAGGTGTGCATAGCTTCTAGCAAAGACACCACCATGCGCAGATCCCCCCTCCTATGTTCACCTTAATTTTGTGTTTACTAGCTGAGAACGAAGTAATTATGCTAAACAACTGACAACAATAAAGATAGCTCACCATACAGTCATACTCCACAAAATCATGTTGATATTGACATCAACTCGCATTAAAAGGCAGCAATCAGGAGGGCTAGCACGAAAGCCGTCATTGCATTGGCGTGGAGGGCTCTCACAGCCACTGGCGAGGCAGGTTTCGGTGCTGGTGCTGGTGCTGGTGGTGCTGCTGCTGGTGGTGCTGCTGCTGGTGGTGCTGGTGGTGGTAATGGTGATGGTGGTGTTGTTGTTGGTGGTGGGGATGGTGAGGATGGGATGGGTGGGCTGATGGAAGGAGATAGTGCTGATGGTGGCGTTGGCGCTGGTGATGGTGGCCCTGCGGGTGGTGATGCTGGTGCTGCAGCTGGTGGTTGGGATGGTGGAGGCGGGACGGGCGAAGGTACTGGTGCTGATGGTGATGGTGCTGCTGGTGGTGGTGCTGGTGGTGGCTGGATCGGCGGGGCTTGTGGAGCTTCGGAGTTGGCATAACAGGCAGGGAAAAGAGGGAATAGGAATAACAAACATCAGTCATATGATAAAATAAACAACGGATCTAGGGACAGGATTATGCAACTGACTCGGAAAGATACGGAAGCGAAGGGACTGAGGAGCTAGGTGTCTGTCAAGGGAATGGAAAAAGAGTGAATGGATTCGGCCAAGGGACAAGGGTTTGGTAGCAGCAGGAGAAGTTGAAGGAGGAGTAGGAGGGACTCTGGGTGGGCAGGGGGAAAGGCTGACAAGTGGAAGAGCAGGTGACATGGCGTGTGGGGGATTTACAATGTTAAGAGAGAGCTATGGATCTGACTGCACATCTACAGATGAATTTTGAGTTGACTCAAAACGAAGTGACTTTTGAGACGACTCAAAAGTCAATTTGAAGGGAGAGCCATGGATCTGACTGCACGTCTATAGATCTAGATGGTCACGAGCCGAAGGAGGAAGGTTGAATGGCGTCCTTGAAACTTTTCAAAACAGGTAAGTGAGACATGAGCTGCGGCAGGAAGCAGAGAGGCTTACCCGCAGCAGAGCACTGGGAGCAGAAGGTGGCGCAGTCGACACAGAAGACGGATAGGGGGTCCTGAGGCACCTCACAGGAGGCTGGGGTAGTGGGGCAGACGAGCGACGTGTTGTCTACGTTACTGCACGTGGGATGAGGGAGTGACAAAGGGTGGGAGAGTGGGGTCTCTTAGAAGAAGACGCGGCAGTCGACACAGAAGACGGAAAGCGGGTCCTGAGGCACCTCACAGGAGGGCTAGGGTGGTTGCGGAGGGGAGCAATGTGTTGTCTATGTAACTGCACGTGGGGTGCAGGAGGGAAGAAGGATAGGAGACTGGGGTTTCGAGAAGAAGGTGGGGCGGCTGATACGGAAGCCGTTTCAAGAAGCGGGTCCTGAGGCACCTCACAGTTTCTGGGGTAGCACGGCACATGAGTGAGTGCTGTCTATGTTACTGCACATGGGACGAGGGAGGGAACAAGGACTAGAGAAGCGGATTTCAGGGATAGGGTATGGAAGCGAGGTTTTGACAATTCACAGGTACACAAGGGTGAGCCGAGGGAGCCGAGAGAGCCGAGGGCAGAGCTTGTGTGTGTCACTTTACAGAATTCTCAGAAGCAACTCGCTGAAGAGTCACAGGTCAGCTTTTGTTTCCTCTGTGCAGCTCACAGGTATGCGAGGGTGGTGAGGGAACCGAGGGTGGCGGGAAGGTGCGACTCTTGAAGCAATTCTGTCACCAGTGAGGCACAAGGCACTCACAAATCGCTAAAGACTGACAGGTTGTTTCTCTTGTGCAGGTGCTTTTGAGTCGACTCAAATAAAGACTGACAGGTTGTTTCTCTTGTGCAGGTGCTTTTGAGTCAACTCAAATAAAGACCGACAGGTTGTTTCTCTTGTGCAGGTGGCGACTCAAAGGTATGCGAAGGTGGTGAGGGAACCGAGGGTGGCAGAAGGTGTGACTCTTGAAGCAATTCTGTCACCACTGAGTTACAAGGCACTCACAAATTGCTGGCAAGCAACTCACAGGTACGCGAGGGTGGTGAGGGAACCGAGGGTGGCAGGAAGAGGGCCTGTGAAGGCGTTGTACTCAAGGCTCCTGCATGGCCGTGATAGTTGGGTTGGGAGCAGTGATGTTTGGGGTTGAAAGCGGCGAGATGGAGTGGGGAAACAAGGGTAAGGAAACGAGGGGGGGGCAAGTGGGAGGCGGGAAGAGGGCCTGTGAAGGCGCTGTACTCGAGGCTCCTGCATGCATGGGCGTGACAGATGGGAGAGCAGTGATGGGCGGGATAGATGGGAGAGCAGTGATGGGCGGGATAGATGGGAGAGCAGTGATGGGCGGGATAGATGGGAGAGCAGTGATGGGCGTGATAGAGTGGGGCAAGATGGAGAGAAGGAGCAAGAATGGGGCGGAGAAGGCTAAGGATGGGATGGGATAGAGGTCGTTTTTCTGCACAGAAGAGAGTTTAAAAGAGAAGAGGGACTGGCAGGCAGTAAGGTAAGGCTGAGGAGAATGCGAATAAAGGTTAGATTTGAGGAGCCTAAAAAGAAGAGAGTGAAAGGATGAGATGAAAGAAAAAGAGAAGAGAGGGGAGCGACTGACAGGAAGGTGAGGTTGAGGAGACTGCCGATCGAGGAAGGGATGAGGCCGGATAAGTTATTCCTGCTGACGTCCCTGTGGAATTGCATGGGAAGGAGATAGGGGAAGGAAACGGACAAGGGAGGGGAGAGGGGAGTGATTCCACAAGAGAAGGGATGAGCGCTGATAAGATATTATTGCCGATGTCCCTGTATGTAAGGGTTCATGGAAAGGTGGGAGAGGGAGAGCACGAAAGTATCTAATGAAAGAGAAGGTGGGAGAAGGAGAAGGTGGGATACTTCTATAGTGAGCCCTCAGAGAGGCATGTTCTGCTGCTCGAGGCCTGCTTTGAAGGAGCCTCAGGAATCATGCATTGCACAAAGGGCGCCAGCTGGATCCTGAGGCTCGTTGCTCTTATAGGTGCGATATCTGAAGGCAGTTAATCATGCTCGCTGTGGTCTCCCATGGCCCCCAAGGTACCCAAAGTGGCTGGCATCTCACAGTGTTTCCATGAGGGACAGGCCGCCAATCCAATCGGGGAGAGAACCGGCGAAGCGGTTACTGCCGAGTGCACTGCAGAAAGGAAGGGTAGGAGAAGCCAGAAGAAGAGAGGGAGGAGAGGGGAAGCACGCGGGGGAGAGGCGGGGGTCGAGGAGCGCGCGGAGGACAGAGGAGTGCAGGCCAAGCGGCGAGGGGGAATCCGCGCCAACTACCGAGCCCAATCTGGTTGGGGGAGCCGGCGGAACGAGTCACGCGCCAGTCGTTTGCTAGACGCGGGGGGAGAAGGGGAACGACAGCGCAAGCAATGAGAATCGGTGATACAAACGCAGAAGGGAGCGGCGACGAATATGTACCGTCAGATCTGAGGCAACCCGACAACCCCGACTCACCTCTCGCGGAAGCAGGGGAGGACCAGGCGCAGCAGCAGGAGAGGGATCCTAGACGCCGACAGAACCGCAGACCCCAACCCCCTCCAGACCAAGCCCTGTCAGCGTCCCAGCTGGCATCGAGGGAGGATCTCTTTGAGACCGCGAACAGCTGGGACTCTTCAACCCTAACATCAACCACCCACCTGCCTATCGTCCGCCGCCTGCCGCCGCAGAGTTGGGGCTGGTCCATCCGGGTCAACATTTGAACACTACCGCGACCCAGCCCTAAGCAACATCGAAGTGCTGGGGCACCTACACTCCGCCGTAACACATCTTCTCTCCACGAACCTTTCCACCGAGGTTGCAGCACTACTCTCGCCATCCCGCCTCATCGCCTTCGCGAAACCAGGGGGGGGGTACGCCCTATCGCAATAGGGGAATCCCTACTCCGGTTGGCAGCAAAGGTGGCACTCTCGGAACTGCAAGGAGAAACAAGGCGATTATTCTTACCCCAACAATTCGGTGTGGCAGTCCCAGGCGGAGCTGAGTTCGTTATACATGCAGTCAGAGACCTCACCACTTCACAACCTTCCAGCCTAGTCCTCCAACGTAGAGAGGAAAGCGTTCTTCAACGCACTCAACAACACCCCCCTAGCACTGCTCATACCTTTCACCCGCTCCTTCTACGCAACGCCTTCTCAGCTGCTGACCGATCCCCGCTTGAGCACGACGGCACTTACCAGCGGAAGGGGGGTGAGGCAAGGGGACCCCCTCGGACCCCTGCTGTTCGCGGCATCAATCCAGCAGCACCTCAGACGCACAGCAGCAGAGCACCCAGAAGTCACGATCCTAGCATACGCAGATGACATCACCATGGTCGGACCGGCGACAGCAACGCTCGGCGCGCTTAAGCTACTGACGCCGCTGCTCGCCCAGGATGGCCTCACCTGCAACCTAAAAAAATCGTCGGCGTGGTCCACGACGCCGCTTGAGGGTGACGAGCTCCCCGAGGGCCTCCCACTCACCCACGAGGGGGTACGGGTGTTGGGAAGTCCCGTGGGGTCACAGCGCTTCTGCGCTGACCTGGCCCGCAGTACCCTGACAGACGCGGCGGCACCCCTGGGCTCCCTAGCATCCATCCATCCACAGCATGCCCTCCTGCTCCTGTCCCGCTGCATCAGCCGCAGAATCGGCTACTTGCTGCGCACCACCCCAGCGGATGTCCTTCCCCTCTCGGAATGGCACGCGTGGTGCGCCGAACTGCTCAACACCGCCCTGACTGCCGCCAGCATCCAACCACCCCGCCGCGAAGCCGATTTCAATTTTCTCATCCGCCAAGCAACCCTCCCAGTGGCCCTAGGTGGACTGGGCCTCACGGATCCCACAACAGAAGCCGCACCAGCCTACCTGGCCTCAACGACAGAGGCATTACGCCTGCTCCGCTCACTCGACCTGCCAGCAACCGCGGCGCTAGGGAGCAACAGCAACGCCCTGCAGCCATCTGCGGCACACTCAGTCACCATCCAAAACATGGAGGGACGTCTGCCGCCGCTGGCGCTGCAATACCTCCGTGAGGAGCAAGAAACCCCGTCCCAAGACCAGATGCAGCGGGCCCTCTCTCAGGAAGTGCACGCGGCAAAGGCCGACACCCTGACAGAGGAATCACGCTCAATCAGGTCAGCCCCCGAGATGGGCCACACGCTCCGCCTCGTCAGCCTGAGAGGCGAGGGAGCGGGAGCATGGCTGCAAGCCCTACCCCTGACCCCAGACCTCTGCTTCTCACCAGGGCAATTCCGAACAGCCCTGGCCTTCCGCATGGGCATCCGACAGAACGTACCTACCGTGTGCGAGTGTGGAGAGCTCGTGGCCGACTGCAGCCTACCCAACCACCTACTCCGCTATAGCACAGGCCCGGACAGAGCGCGCACACACAACCAGCTGGCCTTTGCCGTGGCAAAAATGGCGAGGGAGGCGCAGCTGGTGGTATACCTGGAGAATGCAATGTACTCACCACCGGATGACCCGAAAAAGGCCGATGTGATCGTGCGTGACCCAGACAGTGGAGAGACCTGGATCACAGACACGACTATCACCGACCCTGTGCTACAGAACCGGGACCCCATAGCCCGCAAACCCCCAGGCTGGGCTGCAAGGGAGGCACAGAGGCGGAAGGAGAGGGACTACTGCAGGCACACCGAACACGTGGTGTTCTGCGCCCTGGCCGTCGAGACATACGGGGCAAAAGCGCCCCCCACGACAGCGTTCCTTAAGCTACTGGCCACAGCAGCGGCTAGGAACAGGTTCAGGGCCAACCCCTTGGCCAAATCGGCCAAGAAGATGGCCTGCCACTTCAGCCAGCGCTGGTCAGTGGCCCTCCAGCGCTCCCAGGCGAATGCCCTGCACAACAAGGCCAGGGCAGGGATTGAGGCAGCGCACCCCCAAATGGCAGCGGACCCGTGGCCGCTGCACCTAGGGGACATCCTCCACACGCTGGAGGGTTAGAAGGGGCACTAAGGGGGGGGGGGGGGGGGGGTCAGAGGGATGGGTTGATGGGTCGGAAGGTATAAGGGAACCACGAGTCAAATTGCATATCTGTACCCCCTGCTGAATTAATACAAAGGACCATTTGAGGAGAGGGGAAGGTGGTGGAGAGGGTGGGAGGTGGTGAGGAGGAGGCTGCAAGAGAGCAACAAAGAGAGCTGGCGAAAAATATTTGCCCATTGGGCTGGCGAAACGCATTTGCCCATTGGGCTGGCGAAATGCATTTGGCGAAACGTATTTGCCCATTGGGCTGGCGAAACGTATTTGCCCATTGGGCTGGCGAAACGTATTTGCCCATTGGGCTGGCGAAACGTATTTGCCCTTTGGGCTGGCGAAACGCATTTGCCCATTGGGCTGGCGAAACGTATTTGCCCTTTGGGCTGGCGAAACGTATTTGCCCATTGGGCTGGCGAAACGTATTTGCCCATTGGGCTGGCGAATCGTATTTGCCCATTGGGCTGCGGAAAGTAAAGGACGGGAAAGCAGGAGGCGCTGCGGAAAGGAAGGAACGGGAAAGCAGGAGGCGCTGCGGAAAGGAAGGAACAGGAAAGCAGGAGGGGAGGGAGGTGTGTCACAGGAGCCTATTTTTGAGTCAACTCAAAAATGAATGAACGAATAGGGTGTGTCACAGGAGTGAGAGTGAGTAACGCAGCATCTGTAACGTAGCAGGAGTGAGGTGCTTGCAGCATGGAAAGACGAGAGAGTGGTGAGAATACATTTCAGAGTACTTTCCTTTCCAAACGCCTTACAAGTGGTCCATGGGATGAATGAACGATTAGGGTAAGAATAAAGCACAGAAAGTACCCTGTGGGATAAAGCCTAGCTGTGGGAGTAAGAAGGATAAAGGAGTAAGAATAAAGCAACAGCTGTGGGATAGCAGCCTAGCAGGATAGAGCGGCTTACAGCAGGGAGAAACGAGAGAGTCTGGAGAGGGCTTTCGGGACTTCTCGAATGACGGAAGAGAGAGAAAGTAAAGCATTAGATGTAACGTAGCATGATGAGATGCTTACAGCCGGGAGAGACGAGAAAGTGTGGAGAGGCCTTGCGGTAGCGACCCGGTGAGTTGGTTGAAGCCGAGAACACTGTGATGGGGAGAAGGAGGAGAGGCGAGAGAGGGGGAGGGGGAAAAGGGGAGAAGGGGAGACGGGGAGGAGGGGAGTGGGGCAGAGTGAAGGGGTTAGAGTGAGGCAGTGACCCGGTGAGCTGGTTGAAGCCGAGAACGTTGTGGTGTGGAGGAGGGAGAGTGGGGGAAAAGAAGAGAGTAACGCGGTACAAGAGAGGCAGTGACCCGGTGAGTTGATTGAAGTCAAGAACAAAGTGGTGGGGAGAAGCGGAGAGAGGGGGAGAGGGGGAGAGGGGAAGAGGGAGAGAGGGGGATATGGATAGAGTAGTGAGAGCCACTCACATGCATGTCACTGACAGCCGTCAGTGCACTGATGGTGGAAGGCAGTTGAGTACACACGAGGCAATCCCTCTCTCTCGCACACACTCTCTCTCTCTCTCACACACACACACATACTCACAGACACACACACTCACACACACACACGCACTCGCAATCACATTCACACTCACATTCACTCTCACACACATTCACACACACCCCCACACACAAACTCACATGTCACTGAGAGCCGTCAGTGCACTGATGGTGGAAGGCAGTTCCCCCGTAAGCGAGTTACTCCACAGACTACTGCTCTTACAGGGTGGTGCAGTGCGGTGGGGTGGGGTGGGGTGGCATGCAGGCAGGTGGAATGTGCCGTGCACATACAAAGATGGGGATGATGGGGGATGCATGCGTGTTGTATGCCAATAAAAGCCAGCATGGGCCAAAGGGAAGGTGCACGGCAAGGCCGCATATACACAGGAAGAAGATGCAAAGCAGAGCAGGAGAAACGGCTCCTTCAAACTCTAAAATAGAAAGGACAATATGCACATCGTGATTTGTTTAGAACACTGTATCTGAACTCTGCAAGGGGATTGTGAAAACGTACCGAAGCAAGGGAGAGCAGGAAAGATGATCGTACAGGCTGGCAGGTTAGGATGAAAATTTCGTACAGGTAGGAGAGATTGATAAATGATCCGAGGGATGTTGGTAGCGAGCCTGACAGCCCCATCTCATCCAGCGCCCTGCATTGACACCGCATCATGTATGGTGCATGAGGAAAATCCATCACATCACCCCAAGGTTGCATGATGCATTTAGGTGGCGACTGCATTACCCCTCCGGTGCCAGCACATGTGGAACAACAAAGTAAATTCATGTCCGTAGATTCCAGAAAAACAAACAAACAAAAAGCGGGTGATATCTTACTCTGACTCTTGGAAACGCAGGAAAAAGGGGCGAGACGCACATGCTCATGATCATTCCGTTACTGTCACATGTGAGGCCATCCGCCTGGCTACAGTCGCCCCCCTCCTGCCATTGGTTGAATGTGACTCCCCATGCGGCCTGACAGTCAAGCAACCCGGGAACTGGAAAGAGGAAGAAATAACAACAACTGGGCCGATTGAAAGCCGCTGACTGAATGTAACATACCACGCGGCTTGACAGGCCAGCAATCCGGGAACTGGAAAGAGGAAAAGAGAACGGCTTTGAAGTGGAAATTGACGCTATTGTGGCTCAATGTGGTTCACTGGCAGTCAGGCATTGGGAGTGGGAACGAAGGGTAAGAGAAAAAGTGCTTCCTTTCACGACCCCGGAAACCAAAATCGATACTGGCAAGCAAAATGTGTGAAAGCAGGAACTTGAAAACAACATTCGGTGACGAATGTTGTGAAAGCCTTGAATCAAAAGCATCATTCACTGACAGAATTCCCGAACGGTGGAGCACGGAGGGCGACGAAACGGCTTTTGAGTCGACGCAAAGTCAACTCGAAAACGTGTAACTAAAGCGCCATCCGCTGACAGGATTCGTGAAACGCGGCGGAGCACGGAGAGCGGCGAAGCGAACGTGCCTTGAGATGGAGCAATGGTCTGACCCCTCGCGACCACAATCCATGCTCCGGAATGACTCAACAGCGCGGCCACCACGAGCGCCACCTGCGCTGCTGGGAGCACGGCGAACACGGAAGCACGCTTTCGAGAACAGCTCCATGATTTCGCCCGACCGGGAGGCATTGAATTGAGGCGCTGGGAATAGAAACGCCGCCTGATGGGAGTACGCGCCACCTGTGCTTTACGGTCGCCGGGCCAGACCGCTAGGCGGCTTGGGAGCATTTTTGGGATTGAGTTGGGATGAAAATGCCACCCTCTGCCAGACACTAAATAGAAGGAAGTAGTCTTGGGCTGGGTGGGTGGTTCTCGCCTCGGCTCAACAGTGCGCCAGCCAAGCCAATTGTCGGTGCAGCTAGAATGTGAGCGGGTGTAGCAGGTTTGCTTGACTCTGGTTGGAGCTCCCTTGGGATTTTCCAAATTGGCAGCTGTAGCTTGCTCCGCTAAGGTTCACGGTTCACAAGTCCACCAGAAGTTATGATTTTTCTAGGATTGCAACTGAGTGAGAGAACTAGAAATGGAGTGTTAGATTGCACTCAGATTTGAGGGAAAAATATCTTTATATTATATTTATTTCTCAGAGGAAACACGATACATGGTGGGCTATGCGCTTATGATTCGCCATGACATATCTAAAGTACATGAGATACAAAATATATATCTGACTCGCATGTATACCAGTTCTGTTCCTGCTTGCGGAGCAGTCAATCAGGAGATATGCCTGCCCAGTCGTGCGAGGGCTACAAAATTCTCGAGTCAGTCGTGCGAGTCTTTGGCGCAGGCGGAAATTCCCGCCAAGGGCAAACCCACGTTCTCCCCCTCGTCTCACGCGTCGCAGCGCCTTCACTCCTCCCCCGAACGTGCCATGTCGAAGACTCAAAACAAGCACACGCCACTCTCCCCTGAGCCTCCACAACTTCGAGTCGCCCTACATTCGCCCAACATGCGGCGCGATAGCAATTCGTCACTCTGCCTCACACGAATCCATCCAGCATGCGCCCACCGGGGACGATGGTAGTCAAGGCACCGAGACCATACTCTCACCCCATCGCCGTTCTTCCTCCATTCGTGCGACATTTCACAACAGGAATTTTGCCCCTATTCCATCGTAGCCTTTTCCCTCCACGCATCTGCAGCAGCCTTTTCCCTCCATTCCATGCATTCGCAGCGTCTTCTCGACACGCTCCAGTGGGTATCATCAGTCAACCTTGCTATAGCTGAGGTTCATCACCCCCCTCGTCCTTTCCCTGTGTAATTCACATCAGTAAGTCAAAGGAACTGCTACTCCGCTGTTCAATAGCTTCCGTAGCTTTCATAGCTTCCGTCGCCTTGCACCAATGGCCGCCTGAATCCATCGAAATTCCCCGGTCATAGTACCTCTCGCGAGCGGGGAAACCAGGTGAAAACTATGTCGCACTTTGTATCCGTCGAGGCGGGAAAAACAGACAGACGCACATCCGTACCATCCGTACGATCCCGACCGTCCAGTCCTCACACGCCGCGATTCAACCCTTTCGGCGCATCTAAATCCAAACCTGTCCCCAAGTCCCCCTCCGCGCATCCCGATGGCTCCGCGCCCAAACTCCTCGGCTTTCGCCGAACCTTCTTCTCCCCGCGGTCCGCCTCGCGCCGCGTCCACAACGTTCCTGAGATGCTCGTGTCGGCTTCCATGGCGTATGCCACGGCGCAAGTCCAGGCGGATAGCCTGGCGGGAATCCCGGGGAAACGGGAACGGAGGATCGACGGGGAATTCGTAACCCGAGAGCGCGAGGAACTCGGGCTCGCCGCATACTCCCCCGCTTCGAGCCTCTCGTCGTCTGCGCGGCCGTCGCCGTTTCCGCGCAACGCCATTCCATCTCTTGACCTCGGCTCGCTGCCGTCGAACGCGGATGCGCGAAATCCGCCGCCCAATGTCGCGCGCGGCAGAGAGGGAGCCTCTGCGGAAAAGCCGAAACTGACTGGACGGGCAGGCGCGGGGAGAGGAACTTCGGGGGAAGCGGCGGCTGGGGCAGCTGTGAAATCGACTGAAATCAGGGAAGAGATTTTTTTCGGGGAAGGCGAATCTTTCCCGAAAACGCTTCGTACAGGCGGTTACTTCGATTGCGAAGATGAAGTAGTTATGCTTCAACACAAGATAGAACCATCTATGGTAGAGGAGAACAACGGTAAAGCGGTTCAGCGTAAGGAGATAGAGGATCAAAGGCTTAGACTGGTTTTGGCGGACGAGGAGGAGTCGGATGCGGAAGGACCGGTGAGTGCGCGGGAGGAGGGGGAGCTGGCGGCGGAGGGCGCAGCGGAAGAAACGGCGGAGGTAACAATTGCGGAACGAGACGCCGAGACCGACACGGAGACAAAGGAGACGCGGCTCCGTCGATTCCTCGATGACTCCGTTGACTGCGTTGACTGTACCGAACCTGCTGATTGTGCTGATGGCTCCCGAATGGAAGACTCGAGCGTGCCGGGAGCCGTTTCTGCTGCGGTCGCTGCTGATGCTCCGACCAAGCGCACGCGGAAGAATGCACGGAAGGCTCGGGGGAAGAAGGCGGGTAAGAAGTCCGCGGGAAAGAAACAGCGCAACAGCGTTGCGGAAAACGAACGGCGAGTGCAGCATGCCGACGAGGCGGCAGCCGAGGCGCATGCTGACGTGGCGTCCGAACCCACCTTAGCGAAGGGACCTAGCGGCTTGCTGGCGTCCCCGCTGGCGTCGGCTGCGGAGTCCGCACCGGCGGAAAGGACTTGCGCGGAGGCGGAAAGCAGGAGTGGAAAAGCAACGGAGGGACACGACGCGGAGCTGACGCGATCGGGAGTGGCGGAAGGCAGCGCGATGGCGGAAAACAGCGCAGTGGCGGAAGGCAGCGCGGGGGCGGAAAACGTGGCGCAACGCCTGAACGCCCAAGGCGCGGGAACGGCGGACGAGGCGGAATCGAAAGCGGGAGCAACACACGAACATCGTAATCTTACCAAGGTGACTACTAGCGAATCATGCGGTGATGACGTGGAGGAGGAGCTGCACGCGTGCCTGGCGGGAATGGCGGCGGAAGAGGAGGCGGATATCCGGCGGGAGCTGGATGATGCGCTGATTTTTGGTTCAAGCGACGGGGAAGCGGGAGAGGCGGAAGCTGAGGAGAACTGGGGAGAAGAAAGAGGAGCAGGAAGAGGGGAGGAAAGGATGGGGAAAGGAGACCGTGAAGGAGAAGCAGATGTGGAGTTTCTTAGAGAAGATTGTGGAGAGAAAGGGGAGGGAGAAAGGCGGGAGACGGAGAGGGGTGAGCGGGGTTCGACTTTGGACGTTGGTGGAGAAACTGAAGGTGAGGGTAGCGAGTGTAACGATACGTTTCTTGAGCTGGAAATCGATTTGATTGCGCTGCAGGAAGAGGCGGAGAAGGCGGAAGAGGAGGAGGAAGAAGAAGAGGAAGAAGAGGAAGAGGAAGAGGAGGACGGGGCGGCGGGAATTGCGGAGGATGAGGCGGGGGAGTGGAAGGGGGGTGACCCAGAGGAGGATACGGTACTGGTCGATGGAGCGGGAGCGGAAGCGGAAGCGGAGGCGGAGGCGGAAGCGGAAGCGGAAACGGAGGCGGAAACGGAGGCGGAAGCGGAAGCGGAAGCGGAAGCGGAAGCGGAAGCGGAAGCGCCGTGCGAAGATGATGCAGACGCCTCGGGAAGCGCGGCGGAAGCAGCGGCGCTGCAGCAGCAGGAGGTGCGCATCGAGGCTGCGGCCACTTCTGGGAGAGAGGAAGCGGGAGAAGCGGATAATAAGCAGGAAAACGGAGAAAATCATTTTTCGAAAGAGAAGGACCCGGAATGTGTCTTTGATGCGCCTCAGGAGCGAGTTCGTTCTCCGGAGCGAATTCGTTCTCCCGAGCGGGCTCATCTTGCGGAGGAGGAGGAGGACGCGGAATGGATTGCGCTGCTCGAGGAGAGCCTGGCCGAACGCGCGCGGGAGCGGCAGCGGGAGGCGGCGGAACGAGATGCCGCGCAGGTTGCGGGCGGCGGCGGTGTAAATCCCTTTGCGCTAGCGCTGGGGGAGAGCGAGGCGGAGGGCGAGGCGGAAGTGGAGGCGGAGAGCGGGGCGGAGGTGGAGGCGGAAGTGGAGGCGGAGAGCGGGGCGGAGGTGGAGGCGGAAGTGGAGGCGGAGGGGGAAGCGGAGGACGACGGGGAGAGTGAGGCGGAAGAAATCGAGATGATCAGCCCGCGAGGAAGCGCGCTGAGCAGCGGAATTGCGCTCGCCGCTCCGCCGTGTGAGGTGGTGACGGTTGGTGTAGAGGAGAGTGTGGACGAGAGTGACGTGGATGACGACGAGAGTGACGTGGATGAGGACGGGAGTGACGTGGAGGAGGACGGAAGTGACATGGATGGGGAGCAGAGTGACGTGGAGGAGAGCGACGCAGAAGCGGATGAGAGTGAGGTGGAGGGGCAGAGTGACGTGGAAGAGGAGCAGAGTGACGTGGAGGAGATCGAGATGATCAGCAACCCGCGGAGTATGGGGGGAAGCGAGAAGGCGGGAGGAGAGTTGGCCAATGAAACCAATGGGGCTGATGGGGTGGAGATGAAGGGGAGGGGAGAGGAGAAGCAAGAGGAGGAAGACGAGGAAGAGGAGCGCGGGAGGGAGGAAGGGGAGATGGAAGTGGAGGAGGGAGGCGCGGAAGCAGCTGTGCTTTCGCCCTTCCCGTCGCCCCTCCCTTCCCCACACCACTCCGACGCCTCTTGCCGGTCAAGTGGATCCAAGCATTCAGCCAAGTCAATCAGGTCAACGGAATCCAAGCACTCGGTCAAGTCAAAGCAGTCAATGGGATCAAGGCGATCAGCAAACTCACGAACCTCACACGCGGGGTCAAACAAGTCAGACAGATCCCCAAAATCAATCCAGTCAACGCACTCCAAGGCGTCAAACCGAGCAGCTGCCGCCCAGCCTTCCACCACTTCTGCCGCCCAGCCATTCCATCTCTTCACCACAGTGACGTCACCCACCAAGCCCTTCTCCCTGCCGGCCGCTGCTGACGTGGCAGTGTTTCGGTTCGGTAAGGCCGAGAACCAGGGGAGTGAGAGAAGGGGAGGGAGGGAGAGGAGGAGGGTAGGAGGACGGATAGTAGCAAGTAGGGTAGTGGGAAGAAGGGGATTTGGTGAAGGAAGAGCAGGAGTGGAAGGAGAGAAGGAAAAGAGCAGCAGTGGGAAAGGAAGGGGCGGGGAGAAGAGGAGAGTGAGGAAGAGGCAGCGCGTGAGAGGAGAGGATTCGGATGGGAGTGAGAGTGAGGGGAGTGAGTGTGGAAGGGTGCAGAACGGTGGCGTTTCTCTAGGTGCTACTGCTGCTAATGCTACCGCCACCGCTACCGCCATCGCTACCGCCACCGCTACCGCCGCCGCTGCCGCTGCCACTGCCTCGGCAACCTGTGGGACTGCTGCAACCTGTGGTGTTTGTGTTGCTGACTGGCAGCTGTCAGTGGAAAAGGAAAATGCGGAGGGCGGAGAGCAGCAGCAGCAGCAGCAGCAGCAGCAGCAGCAGCAGCAGCAGCAGCAGCAGCAGCAGCAGAAGCAGCAGAAGGGGAAGGAGGCGGAGAACGAAGGGCAGCAACAGAGGCGGAGCAACGGATCTCTGACGTCATCTCCCACTGGAAGGCAGACACGTGGCGGCGTTAGCAGCCCAAATCAAAAGCAGACACGTGGCGTTAGTAGCCCAAATCAGAAGCAGACATGTGGCAGTCCGGCAATAAGCGGCAGCAGCAGCCCGTTGATCATCAACCACTGCAGCAGCACCAGCAGCACTTATACAAAACTGGGAGGGAGCAGCAGCACCAGCAGTGCCTATACAAAACTGGGAGGGAGCAGCACCAGTAGAAACAGCAGGAGCAGCCAAGGAGTAATGACGAAAAACAACAGCAACAGCAGGACCAGTAAGGGCGTAATTGGTGGGACCAAGGGGTCTATAGCAAATAACGCGCCCGTGGGCATAAAGAGCCTCGAGGACACAATAAACGGATCTGAGGGCGCAATAACGAGTACAAAGCAGGGGAAGTGCACAGGGGGAAGCAGAGTTGAAGCTCTGAGCAGCAGAGACGGCGTCAGAGCAGCAGTTGCTGCTCGTTCGTGTGACCAGTACTGCACTACTAGCTGCAGCGAAACGGTCTATAGCGAGGAGGACGTGTATAGCGAGTCAGGGAGTGGTGCCACTAACGGGTGTGGCAAGACGGAGGGCAGCAGCATCAGCAGCAGGAGGCCAAGTGCTGTTGGCAGCGTGCAAGGCGGTGGTGAGGCAAAGAGCAGTGGGATGAAAGAGAGAGGAACGAAGAGCAGCAGCTGCAGGAGCATCAGCATCACCAGCATCAGCAGCAGCGTCGGCGGTAGCAGCAGCGTTTGTGGGGCGGGCAGCAGCACAGCAAGATCACCGGTAAAGTCACTGAGCACGACGAAATCTCTGAGCATGAAAGCAGTCAGCATAAAGGAGATAAACGGTAGAGTCGCGAGCAGCAGCAGGAGCACCAGCATCACCAGTATCGGCAGCAGCGTTTCTGCAGGCGGCAACAGCACGGCTAAATCACAGAGCACGGTAAGATCACTGAGTGTGAAAGCAATCAGCGTAAGGGAGATCAGCAGCAGCAGGGCACGCAGCAGCAGCAGCAGCAACAGCAACAGCAGCTCAGCGGCAGCAGCAGGGAGCAAGAAGCTGCTCCCGCCCAAGTACATCCCTGTTCGCCCCACTTCTGCTACAACCGCTGCTACAGCTGGTGCTACAGTCTCTACTACAGCCGCTGCCACAGCCACTGCTACAACTGCTGCTGCTGCAGCCCCTGCTACAACTGCTGCTACATCCGCTGCTACAGCCCCCTCTATCCCCCCTTCCCTCCACCGCGCCATCACCACCCACAGCGCCCTCTCCGCCCTCTCTGCCCACTCCGCCTTCCCCCCGCCCAGTCCCTCCACGTCCTTCCCCTCCCCCGCGCTCAGCGCGCACCACCTGCTCTCCGCCTTCCCCCCGCCATCCCCTGACGCTGCCCTGCGCTTCCTCTGCTCCCCCTCCTTCCCCCCGCCCTCCCCTGGGTGGCCCCTGCGGAAAATCCGCGTGGTGGGGGGGAACCGGCGCCCTGTCTACTCCCCCGTGCATAGGCTCAGCAGGGGGGGCGCGGGGGGGTCAAGGGGAGGGGGGGAGGCGGGCGGGAATAGGTGCGGGGGGGAGGAGGGCGCAGGGGGGTGTGGGAAATGTGGAGGGGAATACAAGATGTGTAGGCCTTTGGGAAGGCTGGAGGAGGGAGAGGGGAATGAAGGGGAGGAGGGTGGGAGGAGAGGAGGGAGGGGAGATGGGGGAGAGGCGGGGGAAGGGGGTCGAAAGAGGAGTGTGAAGGCGAGATGGAGCAAGGTGGTGTCGGTGCCTGCTTCCATGTTCACTCGCACCGAGTTTGACACGAGGAGGACTCGCTCGGATAAGACAGGGGCGACCGGGGCAACAGCAACAACAGGACGTCCAGCAGCAGCAGCAGCAGCAGCAACGACAATAAGCCAGCAGGAGGGCGAGAAGGGAAGCAGCAACAAGAGGAAACCGCAGAGCGTTCTGAAGAGCATTCGGAAGATTCGACGTGAGTCAACAACCCTCCCCCCGAACCTGCTGCTGCCCTCCGGTTTCCTACCCACTCTCTATCACTTCACCTCACAGATCCACGCATTGCCATGCCCACCAATGTTTTACCAGGCCATTCAAGCACCAGGCCATTCAAGCACCAGGCCCTCTCTGTCACTGTTGGGCCATAACCCTTGTCCTTTCATGAACCCTTGTCACTTTCTAACTGGTCCCTCTCTCTCTGCTTCTCTCTCTCTCTTCCGTTTGCCTCTACTCCTCACCAGTGCGGCCGGCCGTCATCCTTCTCGCATACTGGCGGGCCATACGTAACAGCACACGGCCAGGCTTCATCTTCAGCAAGGCAATCAAATCCGCACCAGTAAGAGCATATCCTCTTTACAGTCTCAAATGTACTTCTTGGCAGCGGATTGGAACACTATAAACCTTCTCTCACTTGGATGTTGCCTTCAATGTTGCTTTTTTTCAGGGATAAACATGGTCCCTCTCATGGAAGAGAGAGTGAGTGCATGGGGGGGAAGCGAGAGAAACACTGTATTTTTTTTTGGCATGCACTCACTTGGATGTTGCCTTCAATGTTGCTTTTTTTCAGGAATAAACATGGTCGGGTGAGCCGAGCCGCCTTGTGTTTTTATCAGGGGTGTACAATATCGCTGCTTGTGAATTTTTGCAACCTCTTGAATAATCAGGCGAGCTCTGCAATGCTGTGGTGAAGCTGCTTGCCTTAGCTGTAAATGCGTGCCAGTTTGTTATGCTTGAAGTAGTACCGTACTTTTCGCTTATACATAAGAAGTTGTAAGAAATAATTTGATCTGGTGTGATACCTGAACACGACCTACAAACAAAAGCCACTCTTGCCGAGCCACTGCGGATACCCGTTATAACACCACACGAGTGCCAGTGTTGCTGCACTCCACACACGAGTGGTCGGCAGGTACTAGACGTGGCGGCGACAGGCGACAACTGAAAAAGGTAACCCGTCGTAAGCGACAACACCAACGACAATTGACCAGGGAAGGCTGAGATAAGAAAACTCAAGCCTACCCTAATCAAGCGACTCCTCCGACAACGGATGAGCGAGATTAGACGATTTCAGCAAGGTTATGAGCTCAACCAATAGGAGGAGAACGGGGCGGCGTAGTGAAGGCGACGTAGTCGGCCACGCAACGACAGAAAACCTTCCAGATACGACAAAACAGCAACCGTCCACCGTCATGGCGGCTGCGACTACGACTACTGCACAGTGCGTGCGTGCGACTACCCTCGGAGGGTAGCGATGCGGGGTGGCACGGCATGAGGGCTTGGCGCTACTAGGGATTTTCCCAGGAGGGCCCTCTCGAAATCGCCGCGATGCGGAAGAGGGGAGGTGAGCGCGGAAGCCTTCGAGCTTTCACCAGAAAGTCCCTCCCGCGACTCGAGGGTTCGTTCTTGAGGGCGCCGAGCGCTTGGAGGGTTCGGTTAGTCCGTCTTTTTCATAAGCCGCGTTCCGACCGCTTTGTGTATTCTCGAGAAGCACGTTTCAAGAATCACTAATTTTGTCGCCCCAAACACCTTCAACAAGCAAAATACCAAAGCAAGAAATAAAGCGTGCAGTTGATCCCAAGCATGGATCTCTATTCTCATCCTCCTCGTCCGTTTCGTTCTCCCTCGCTTCTCCTTCTTCTTCCTCAGCTACTGCTGCTTCTGCTGATCCTGCTTCTATCGCTCGGAGCTGTCCAGCAGGCAGACGCGGCATCCCCCACGAACGAGCAGATGCGGGTGGAGGTCGCTGGCCTTCAACTCGCTGCTGCTGCCAGGCCTCGCTACTCCGTCGCCGCAAGGTTCCTTGAACGGGCGAGTGAGGGTCTTGGCCCTGAACTCACACATTTACACACACCCTGTGATTCCGTGTGGCCTGATGTGACCGTTCCTTGACGACGTCTTGCATGATGGCGAGGTGATCAAGGAGTGTGACTTCTCACCTGATGTGATCTTACCTGATGTGACTTCACCAGATGTGACTTGGCTTGTGAGCATGCTATGCCGTGTCACTGCTGCACATGCCACGCTCTTCAGATGTGCTTTTGAAATCTGTTCCCTTCTGCACATAGTCTCTTGTTCGTCCCCCTCATCATTTCCCCCCCCCTTCTATTTCCCTTTCCAGATTAGAGGGTCTCCCGAAGGTTTGATTTTCCCTTGTGGACTCATACCTCGTCAAATGCTTGTTCACCCTCTTTCCTTTATCTCCCGTCCCTCCCGTGTTAGCTGTCTATTCTTTATCTGCGCATTCATTCCCTGTGCCTTCCCTCCCACCTTTTCCTTTCTCTTGTGTTCCCCCTATCCCTCTAGTTGAGGATCCCAATACCAACTACACCGTTATCCAGAACACAACCATACTACTTCCATCCAACCAGGCATTAATCGACACCCTGCTGCGAGTTTGGGAGAACGGAACTGAATGGGGGCGTACAATCACATACAACATCATCAGTGGCTTGTACACTCTCCGTCAGCTGCGCCAGCTGCCGCGTAACGCCCAGATTCCAACATTGTTGGAAGGTGCAAACCTGACCAAGTTCAATACTAGGTTCAGTGTGGCGCTTGGTCAGCCGGACACGAAGCTGTTTACTTGGGCAGTGGTGAAAATTCCCAACCTGCACAACGGGGTGTTTCTCAAAGTGCATGGTGTGGATAGATGGGTTGTGCCACCAGTGGAATAGCTCCTGCTTCTGTGCTGAGTAGGGACCATTGCATGCGGATTTACCGTTTCCAGCTTTGTATGAGCAAAATGAATGTACATTCTTGTAGCACCTGAACAACCTTTTTCAGTTCCGGTATTACCTCACCTTAGTAAACTATGCTGAGCATAAGCTCAATGGAGGAGTTAGTTACATGCCATTGGTCAGTGCACAATACTCTTTATTTCATACAATCACTTTGAAGCACAATGTCAGTGACCTGTTCAAGAATCACAACGGCACGGCAATTCCGTGCGCACGAGGGGCCCGATTCGGCCACGACTTTCGCGCGTCGCGCCATTTGGCTCACAAAATAGATTTTCTTTCCAGCATTAGTTTCCCTACACTCCCTCCCTCCTCTCCTCTCCAGACCAGCCACTTCAAATCACATCCCAACAGACACAGCATCGCGTCACACATTCCCATTCCGTTTTGATGTTCATCCATTGCTTTCTTCCTACCATGCATTGCGTTGCGTTGCATCATCCATCCGTCAGGTATGCTATGCAGGCAGTGTGTATTGCAGCATGCACCCATGAATCTAGCGTGACTACAGCAGAGCTGGGGGGAAATGCTCAACTCGTTGCAGCATAGCACCACGCGAAGTGACAGGTTGTTGTAGTATCATAGCTGGGACGTTCCCAAATGTGCCGCAGAGGCTAACAAGGTGACTTAGGAAATGCCGGCATTGTGAATGCAGCATTTGTGACTCTCCCTCGCAACCTGCCCTCAGCTGCAGACTGTGTTGCGAAGCGCTTCGAGTTCGGCGAACAGTGCACAGAGCCGCAGAAAATCAAAGCGGGAGCATTCTGAGAGAAGCGGGAAGCGCGCGGGTGAACTTGTTCTGAGCACTCATGGGGGAAACGTCAGCGTCGGATGCGCGAGTCGATGCGTTGACCGTAGCGGCAGCAGGAGCTGTTACCGCAGCAAACACTAGCGAATCAGGGTTTGAGGGGCCTCAGGAGGCGGAGGGATCAGTAGCGATGGCTTCGCGAGTAGGTGAATCGACCGTTGCGGCAGCAGGTGCTAGAGAAGATAATGCTGTGGCTGTCGATGAGTCGACCGTTACAGCAGCAGGTGCCGTTGACGGTAATGCTGCGGACGTTAGCAATTCCGCAGCAAACGTTAACGAATCGCGGTTTTACGGGGCTCAAGGCGATGAAGATAATGTTGCGGCTGTCAGCAATTTCGCAGCAGACACTAGCGAATCAGGGTTCGAGGGACCTCAAGTCGATGAGATGACCGTTACAGCAGCAGGTGCGAGTGAGGATAACGCTGCGCCTGTCGATGAATCGGCAATTGCGGCAGCAGGTGATAGGGACGGTAATGCTTCTGGTAGAGAGTCAGCACCTGATAATGACGGTGCCACACTTGCACAAGCCGGTGCCACAGTGTTACAAGACGGTGCTGCAGTGTTACAAGACGATGCTACAGTGTTACACGACCGTGCTACAGTGTTACACGACCGTGCTACAGTGTTACACGACCGTGCTACAGTGTTACATGTCCACGTGCTCTCAACCAAGGAAGACGATCTTCGGACGGAGCCCTTGCAGAAGGAACCGGAGCTGCCGCAGTCAGTTCAGGCAGAAGTGCCCCCTGCCAAACCAGCCCTTGCCGAACCAGCCCTTGCCGAACCAGCCCTTGCCGAACCAGCCCTCGCCGAAACAGCCATCTCCAAACCAACCCTCGCCGAACCAGCCCTCGCCGAACCTGAACAGGAGGTACGGGTGCAGAGGGAGGGCGCGGGAGGGGAGCAAGAGCTGTCTGCAGGTTCGGCAGCGGAAGGCAGCATGGAGATGAGCGGAGGGGAAGCGGGCGCGGAAAGGGAGTGCGTGGGGCTGAGCGGAGGGGAAGCAGGAGCACCAGCAGCGGCAGTAGCAGCAGCAGCGGCGGCAGTAGCAGACGTGGTAGAGCCGCCGCCGCAGGCAAAGGAAGCGGCATCCGACGGGACGGGCCCGTCCCCCACTCCCACCATCTCGTCTCTCCACCCCTCTTCCGCCGCCCTTGCGTCCCTCCCTCTGCCCCCCATGCGCGCAAAGCCTTCCGCTTTTCCTTGCACCAGCGCTTCCGCAACGGGCTCAAGCGCAAAACCAGCCGCTCCGCCGATTCTCCGCGGAGCCAGCGTGCGCCCGGTCAACCACCGCCGACCCACCTCCGCGTTTCCCAACTCCCCTTCCCTTCCGCCGATGATCCTTGCGCCTTCCCCAGCTGCGGAATTGGCGCGGCAGTTCAGCGTTCTCTGTCCCGCTGCTGCTCCGCATCCCTCGGCAATCGACGGCGGAGAGATTGGCGGACCGGGAAGTCGTGATTGGCTGGGAGGAAGTAGTTTCACCGATACTAATACTAGTACTAGTAGTAATACTCATACTAATACTACTAGTACTAGTAACAGCAGCATACTTGACGATGTATACCGCGGCCTCGGCGGCAGCGGCAGCGGCAGCAACGGCAGCGGCAGCGGCAGCGGCAGTGGCTGCAGCGCAGAAGGAGAGTCGCGCAGCGAAGGCGAGTCTTCTCCCTCGCTCCGCTCTCCCTGTCGCAGTAACAGCCACGATGCTCGCGATCCTGCGACGGAGCGTTCTTTGGGTTCTAGATCGCAAACTGGTCGCACGCGACGTTGCACGCTGTCGCAGCTGATAGACGAGCTGGAGAAAATGCGACTCAAAGACACGGCGCTGCGGGAACCGGAAGCGGGGGAGGCGGAAACAGGAGAAGCGAAAGCGGGAGGAGAAGACGTGGGGGAATACGGAGGGAAAAAGAAGCGCGCGCGAGGAGTGGCGGAAAGAGGCGGAGATGGGGGGCAGGAGGCGCGGAGGGAGCTGGGGAAACGCCCAAGCATGGGAGGGGGGTTGAGAGTAGAAGCAGGAAGAACCCTCTCTTTCCAGGGGTCAAAAGCTTGGCAAAGTTTGAAGTCACCCACGTTTAGGAGTGTAGGACGTGGTGAGGGGGAATGGGTAAACACTCGGTTTCCTCTGCTGGTTCTGTCTAAGAGCATCAGCAGCGTTTGGCGACGAAAGGGAGGGAGACCGGGGCAGAGAGAAGAGGAGCAGCAGCAGAAGTGTACAGGCGAACTCGATGGGGAGAAGAGGGAGCGACAGGAGGAGGGGAAGGGGATGCAACAAGAGGGGACGGAGTTGGATGAACAGGGAGAAGGCGGGGTTGCTTGTAAAGAGGACGGTTACTCTTCCAGGAATCCCTGCTGGCCTTACCGTGAGGCCATATGCAGTCACACTGCTTACAGTCACACTGCTTTCAGTCATAACCTGGTGTTTCCCCAAACCGCCCCACTCCAGGCTGAGATGCTGCACGGCTCCAATAAAAGAACACTGAGCAGCCACTGCTGCTCCTGCATCAACTGCAATAACTGCAATAGCAGTGCCAGGCTGTGCCCTGGCAAGACCTGCCAGTGCAAATCGCTCGCAACGGCAGGCCTGAAAAAACAAGATCTCCCTCTCACTCACCTGCTATCCTCGTTACAAGCTGCATCAGTATCCGCCACAGCAGTCACAGCGGGCAATGTTGAGCTACCCCCGGGTTCAGCCCACCACAGGGCTTTAACTGAAGCAATAGGTGTGGCGTCCACCAGTCAACACGCAGTGGCCGCACAAGCACGCCGGGCAATACTGAGTCAGCTTATAGGGGAGCTGGAGGCGATCCAGCCAGGCACGACAGGGAAGGAGGGGCAGCCGCAGGAGGAGGAGGGGGCAGCAGGCAAGGCCGAGGGCGGATTCAACAGGGGAAATGAGGAGAGCACGTGCGTGGGTGTGACCTCACTGGATGGTGAGAGCTCTGATGATGATGAAGATGAAGATTTGGAGAAGATGTTCACCTTTTCAGGGCCGGTTGGGGTGGAAAAACAGAGGGCGGATGGGAGGTTGGCAGGGGAGTGCAAGGAGATGGAGGTGGGTGCAGAGGTGGGGGGTGTGTGTAAGCAGAGAGTGAGGGGTGCGGGTGGGAGGGCAGTGCCAGGGCACAGGTGGCAGGCGTGGAGTGGTCAGCTGCTTGGGGGAGGAAAGAGGCTGTTTGGAAGGGTGCCGTCTGTGGTGCAGCGGGCACGAGGGGGGGGCGGAGGAGGAGGTGGAGGGGGTTGTGGGGGTGGGGGTGGGGGTGGGGGTGGGGGTGGGGGTGGCAAGGCGTCGTCTCACGTGTGGCCTGACGTGTACGGCTGTGCGGGGCTGAGCGTTGGTGTGGGAGAAGTGAAAGATTCTGAGAAGTAGTGAGGGGGAGGAGGCAGGGTGACTGTCGCATGTGTGGCCTGACGTGTATGCCGTGCGGGGCTGTATGGGGCTGAGCGTTGGGTTGGGAGAACACACAGTGCAGTAGAGCAGGAGACTCTGGAGGACCAGGAGGCCCAGGAAACACTGGATAAATTAGGGATTCTAAGAGGTAGTGGAGGTGCGGAGGCAGGGTTGTGGTTTTCTCATGTGTGGCCTGACGTGTATGCATGTGCAGTGCTGAGCGTTGGGGTGGGTGAACATGGTGCAGTAGAGAAGGAGACCGGGGAGGCACTGGAAACACTGGAGAAGTGAGGAATTCTGAGAGGTAGTCGAGGAGGGAGGGGTGTGGCGTTTTCCGCTTGTAAGGCCTGGCGTGAATGGCTGCATGGGGCTGAGATTAAATGTGGGAGACCATGGGGGGCAGGGGATGCAGAAGAGGAGACCCAGGAGACATTGGAGAAGTTACCACTCACTCCATGTCATTGGATTCTGAAAGGTGATGGAGGAGGATGCATGGCATGGTGCCTTTCACTTGTGTTGTGTTGCCTCGTGTGGCATGGCTGAGCGGGGCTGAGCATAGATACAATGAAGAACTTGGTGCAGGATTCAACCAGCCATAGGAAGTAGTGTAGATGGAGCCAAAATTATGTGTGTGGAGGAAATCAATCAAGACGGGTTTAGCTGATTTGCATATTGTAAGAAAAAATACTTTCTTCTTACTTCGCGTCCCTGCTCAGCGCGTACACCACTGTTCCCGCCAACAGCACCCAACAGTAATCCATTACCACTCGCGACACTCGCCTCGACACTGTTCCCGCCACTGTTCACGACGCGACCCAACCTCACGGTTCGGTTGGTAACCCTCGCTCCGGACCTCCGCCTCGACCATTCCCAACCTCGGCGCCAGGCCCGTCGCGCACCCCATCTTCCATGCATTACCGTTACCACTAAAGTTTCGCTATATATTCTTCGCTCATGCCTTCGCTCATTGTACTCTTGCTTCGATAGTGCAATTCTCGCTTGATCACTCAATTGCAATCGTAACACCTGATATTCAGAGCCTACGATCTCTTCTCAAACCGCATCCACACCTTCGCTTCCTCACTATCTCAATTTTTTGGGGGGTGGACGTCTCTCATCGACACAGCACCGCCGCTCGTAGTGCTCTCTCGTAAGCACGCATGGCCACGACAAAGGCTCTCGCTGAGCCTGCCCGACACCTCCGCCATGGCCGAATTCACGCTCACAACATTGACGAAGGAGCAACTCGACCGTCTGGTACACCAAGTTGAAGAATCGGCGCTCAAAATTGAGACGCTTACGGCGGAACGTGACTCCGCGCGTCAGCAATCGACGGTGAATACTCCGGCGCCACCACACGCATCTGCAAATGCACCTGCACAATCGGAGGAGCCGATCGTCATTTCATCAGGCACACCGACACAAAACGACAGCATGGGACAGCGCTCAGGCGCAGCCAGTGATGGCGCCACCCAACCGATGCCGAGCATGGGGAGAAACAAGGTCGCGCCAAGCCCGCGAGAGCCTCGTGAAGCCCATCGGCACGTGGAGTTCGCGGCGACAAGTGGCGACCAAGCCATCATGGCACCAATGCCACTAAAGCTGAAGCGCCCGCCCTGTTTCGACCCGAATCAGCGTGGAGGTCCGACGGTTCACTTGTGGGTCTTCATGATGAACGTGTTTTTCGACGCAAACTACGTCGAGTCCGACGCAGGGAAGATCAGATACGCCGTCTCGCTGCTGAGGGGCCCGCCATGGATTGGTGGCGAGTCATCGTGACATCGCCACGCGCCTACGAGCCACCGTCGCAAGAGGAAGGGCCCACGGGTCCAGCTGTCATCTGGAGTTTATTCTGCGAAAACGCCCAGTACAGCACGTGGGATGCGTGGTGCGCAGGGCTTCGGGCGCGCTTCGAGCCGATCGCGGCTTCGATTTCGGCGCGTCAAAGACTGCGCACTTGGCGGCAGCTCGAGTCGGTTCAAGACTACAAAAGCAGTTTTCTCGCATTATGCGAGCAAGTCGGCTACATGCACAAAGCGGAGCGGGTGGACCGTTACGTCGGAGGGCTGAAGCCAGACATCTCGCACGAGATCATGCTACGCGGGCTCTTGAACTTCAACGAGATTCTCGCGCTCGCCGAGAAAATCGACATTTTGCGCCGTCCGGGACCGGGGTCCTATTACGGACATTGCCCTCGAGGGCCGATCGAGCACGCCACCGTACATGCCGTTGCAACGAATGCAGCTGCCGCGCCGTTTAAGAGGCGCTGATTTGCTTGCAATAGGCAGGGCCATCGCAAGAGTGAGTGCCCAGAGGAGCTGTGGCGACTTAGAGTAGAGCAGGGGAGGGAGTCTCCGAGGCAGGGAAACGCCAGCACTCAGTAGGAATCGGGCCAACTACTAACGAGACTACCTGCTCGCCCAACCCCACCGACCCTCACCGAGTCACAGTACCGATTCATGCTATCGATCGGGCTCGGACGAATAAGGAGGGTACAGCGACGAATTGCCCTGTACTGATCCACAGGAAAATACAGGGAGCAAGGGTGAAGATTTTTATCGACGGAGGAGCAAGTCACAGTTTAGTTAATACCGCAACCGCACGGAAACTGCAACTGACACTTAGCCGTTGCTTACCTAAGATAGATCCACGCTTAGTTGACGGCATGCCACTGGCCATACGGGAAAAGGTGGAGAGAGTCAAAGTCCGCTGCGACGGGAATTTCAGGTTTACACACGAAATGCTTTCGACGACACTGGACGGGCACGACATTTTACTGGGACGTGATTGGCTGCGACGGTATAACCCGCGAATTGACTGGACGACTGGTAGCTTCACTTTGCGAAGTAGTGGTAACTGAGTCGAACTACTTCGTTGGCAGTCACCCGAGTCTTCAACGGTACACGTCAGCGCCGTCACCATGAAACGGGCTGTCGTCGCTGGAGCTCACCTATACGCAGTAGACATTGCAGTGGAAGAAGGAGCAGAACAACCGAGTGATTTCAAGAAACTGCTCGCAGCGGTACAACTCGAAGTACAGGAATTGTTGAAACGATACACGGGGATTTTTCCCGACGACTTACCGGAAGGACTGCCACCTTAGCGAGCACACGACCACTGAATAGAATTAGAACCGGGTGTTGAAATGAACGAACATGAATGATTGAACTAACAATGAAATCAGTACAAGTACCTCACCCTAGAATTATGTACCCCTTATAGGCTAACCTACTGTAGCCTAAACAAGCACAACATATATAATGTTTGACACACCCCAATAGGCGAAGTGGGGGAGAACTAGGGGTCACAAGACCAGTCAAGGCAAAGCAAGGCAAAACAAGCTCAGGGTGGATCTCAAGGATACCACACAAATTATGAGCACAAGCAAGTGGTCACAAGACCAGTTCACATGCAGGTTTATAATAGAACAAGAGGTACAATTATCACAACCTAGCAAGAGTAAACATGCAGGTACATATATATAGAGATCACAGTACAAACAGACTCAAGAAGTAAGCAAGTGAGGTCCAGTAGGCACAAGGCCTAGAAGAGTGCAAAAGCGCTGATGGTCACAAGGCTGAAGCGCCTTGGTGAACACATCAGCAGTGTTGGCCTCAGAGGTCACGTAACGCAGACGAAGCTGACCACGCTGCTGCAGCTCTCGAGCAAGGAAGTACCGCAGAGCAATGTGCTTTGTTCTGTGCTCCAGTCTGTGCTCCTCACACAAGGCAATGGCTGCCTTGTTGTCGACGTACAGCACTGGAGGAGAACGAGGCCGCTCTCCAAGGTCGGTCAGCAAGTAGGTGAGCCAGCGTAGCTCCTGGGCCGCCATGGCTGTGGCGTAGATCTCAGCCTCACAACTGGAGCTGAGAATAGAAGAAGAGCGAGTAGAACGCCAAGAAACTGAACAAGAGCCAAGACTGAAGGTGTAACCTTGAGACGACCGCTGAGTAGCTTGGTCGTCTGCCCAAGAAGCGTCTGAGTGCCCAATGAGAACAACTGGGACTCGCCCTCCAAGCACTAGCCCCATGCCCGACGTACTGCACAAGTAGCGCAACACCCTCTTAGCTGCATCCATGTGCTCCTTCCGGTGACGGCCGGGAGCGACATAGCGTGCAAGAATGCTAAGAGGGTATGCAAGGTCAGGTCGAGTGCAGGTCATCAGGTACATGAGGCAACCCACAAGCTCTGGATATGGGCCACTCGGCTCTACGGACTCATCCGAAGGCAGAGCTGAGAGCGAGTGACCGGTAGGCAGAGGAGTGGGCTGAGGCGAGGAGTACGTGAAGCGGAAGCGCTGAAGGACCTGCTGCACCATGTGTGACTGAGTCAGGGTAATGGTGCGGCGTGCTCTGTCCCGGGTGATCCGCAAGCCAAGATAGCTTGTCAGTTCACCCAGGTCTGTGCACATGTGTCTCTTCTGCAGCTCCGACTTCACGTGGGCGAGTGCCGCAGTGTCAGCAGTGGCAAAGACCAAGTCGTCGACGTACACGAGGATGTAGAACGGCGGCAGTGAGGCGTTGGTGCGCAGAAACAGCGACGGGTCGGCTGTAGAAGGCGCGAACCCAAGAGCCGCAAGTGTAGTCCTCAGTGTGTTGTGCCACTCACATGGCGCCTGGCGGAGACCGTAGACTGGCCGTCGGAGGCTCCACTGGGTACCAGGAGGGAACGACCCAGTGAAGCCAGGTGGGCGGCGCAGCCAGATCTCCTCGTGTAGGCTGTCCTGTAGGAAAGCAGTGCTGAAGTCAAGAGAGTGGAGCTCGTAGTCACGCTGAGCGGCGACGTGCAGCAGAACCCGAAGAGTGGTCATCTTTGGGGTCGGGGAGAAGGTATGGAAGAAGTCAACTCCCTCTCGCTGACTGAAGCCTCGAGCAACGTAACGCGCCTTGAAGACAGGCGGAGAGCCCGGCGGCCGCTTCACCCAGAAAATCCACATTCCACTGATGATGTTCACCCCAGGCGGGGGAACCTCGTCGAGG